CAGACTCCCCGCTGAGCAGGGAGCCCGATGTGGGGCTCGGTCCCAGGACCCTGAGATCATGACCTGAGCCGAAGGCAGACGCCGAACAACTGAGCCACCCAGGTGCCCCTTAAAGTCATTTTCAACAGGAATGAAGCAGATTGTTTTCATGCTTGTTCCCTTATTCACCCCGACACTGTTTTGGAAGATTCTACCTACCTGAGTTAACTGTGTGCTCGTCTTTGGTGACTCAGTTTCTCCACAACGGTTAGAGGGGGGACATAGAGCTAGGCAGGAATGGTGGCTTTTATAAAATAAACTTTTGCTCTGATGATAGAGCAGTCTGGCTAAGAATTACTCACTCGGATATATCATCAGAAAAACATCGGATTTCCCCCTAGATTTATGAATTTCTTTGCCATATCACACTGGGCCCACAGGTGACCAGGACAGACATTTTGTAGCCGGAAAGACCTGATTCTTTCTTTCTTTCTTTCTTTCTTTCTTTCTTTCTTTCTTTCTTTCTTTCTTTCTTTCTTTCTTTCTCTTTCTTTCTTTCTTTCTTTCTTTCTTTCTCTCTCTCTCTCTTTCTTTCTTTCTCTTTCTTTGTAAAAATGCAATTTGTAAACAGTTTGGAAGGGAAAATCTTTAAAAAAAAAGACAAATTTATTTTCCCGTATTTCTGTATTTCATTGATTTGTAGGAAACTAGGTTAATCTAAATGAGGAGAAAGCCTTTTTAAAAGTTGTTACTGTTAAGAGAATGGCTTAGTGGAAAAATGAGAAAAATATGACAAGAAAGGAGGGAACATATAGGCAGGAGAAGAAATTAACACCAGGGCAGGCTTCTTTTAGAGCATAATGCAGACTGTCCCTGCATCTACTAAAGAAAGGGAATCCTTAAGATCTGGATGTAGGTGTCCTCCAAAAGGGAGAAAAAAGCCCTGCAGGGAGAGGGAAGGAAGGAGAGAGAGGGTGAGATTTCAAAATTGACCACAAGATGGCAGCAGAAGTATAATATTTGGGCAGTTGGGACCGCTAGTAGCTGGGAATGCCCTTTGGTTGGCGTTGAAAACATACTCCCAAACATGCAACTTTCTTAATGTCAGCATTCACGTGTTTGGAAAGCGTTATCACTGAATGCATGTAGTATAACCATTTCCCAATTAGTAGTGATTTGGGGGAATGTATTAAAAAAGCCCAAGCGCCGTGTTCTTCTGCAGTGTTTCCCTTTAACGAAAGGGAGGCAAATCGAGTGCTTGGCATGGAGAGGTCTTTGAACATTAATATTGGTCTGAGGGAAATTCCTAAAACCCCTCAGAGACCTCTGGGCTCTGATTTGCCCGAGAGGAGACAACCCAGAGAAATAATGGGAAATTAATAGTAGTAAGAAATACATGTGTGAGGAGACAGAATTGAGATTTTCTACTCCCTTCTCTGCCCGCCCCCAAGAGATAAAAGACAATTATTATAAGAAAAAGAGCAACTGTTAGAGGAAACTTCTAGTAGCTTCTAATAGGTTGTTTGATTTTCTTGGTACTTCCGTGATTCTAGAATATAATTAAGTAAATCTTACTATGGCCCCTTGCTTGGTGAGGTCCTTCGTAGAAAAACTTTTGAATAATCTAGTTAATGATTACTTATACGCATCTAAATTTTTTTTTTTTTAAGATTTTATTTATTTATTTGACAGAGAGAGAGACAGTGAGAGAGGGAACACAAGCAGGGGGAGTGAGAGAGGGAGAAGCAGGCCTCCCGCCGAGCAGGGAGCCCGATGCGGGGCTCGATCCCAGGACCCTGA